AAGCAAATAAAGATAAAAAAATGACTATTAAGTGAGTTATGGTTCATATATACAAGGGAATATTACTCAGTCATAAAAAAAATGAAATCCTACCATTCACAACAACATGGATGGACCTAGAAGCTATTATGCTGAGTGAAATAAGTCAGACTGAGAAAGATAAATACCATGTGATTTTACTTATACGCTCAATCTTAAGGAACAATAAGAACAAAGTAATTGAAAATAGACTCACAAATATAGAGGACAATCTGATGATGGCTGGAAAGCGGGGGGAGGGGTGGTTGGGGAGATGGGAGAAAGAAGCGAAAGGTTAAAAAAGTACAAATTAGTAGTTGATATATGGTCGCGGAGATGGGGAGCATGGCATAGGGAATGCAGTCAGCAGTAAGGTAATGGCTGTGTGTAGAGCCAGAGGGAAGAGAGAGCAACCAGGGGGATCATTTCATAAACTATATAAATGTCTAACCAATGTACTATACACTTGAAACTAATAATAAAATTAAATTTAAAAAAATCAACAATGGGAGAGCAGTAACATTTTAAACTTGTTGGTATTTTTGCAGCCCCTAGGCATTCTTGAGTAGAGGCAGCTTTCAAAAACTAAAATAAATCGTAGATTGCTCATACCACCCTAGAACATGTGATTTGAACAAGATTTTAAAAAATGGCAGACCTGAACAGGTTAAAAAAGTGGCATAGTGTTGAGTTTGTCAGTCATTCACATAAGCTTCACAAAGACAAGTCTGTTCTGCTCACCAAAGCATGCAAGGCAGCAAATTCTAAGAAATGTTTTGAAGAAATGAATGTTGCATTAATAAACACTTACTCTGTACTAGGCACAGGGACTATGTTAGTGAACTGGATAGAGATCACCTCTATCAGGGTCCTTTGATAGGTAAGTAGGAGATTAAATACAGTTATAGGTGCCATGCTGTTATAAGAGCTGTGGGGCATAAAAAAGGGGCACGTTGGGGGTTAGAGAAGACTTTCTGAAAGAAAAAGTAAAGGAGGGAGGAGAAGTTGGGGGTGCAAAGCATGTCCTAGGCATTTGAGAAGAGGGAGAAACAACATGACTTGTTCAAGGGACTAAAAGGTTTCAGTGTACTTGGGTCACAGAACTGAAAAAAGGAAGTAAGTAATAAGAAATTGGGCTATAGTGGTGAAAACAAGGGCCAGATCTTATGGGACCCTACAAAACATGTGAAGGCCTTGTATTTCAGTCCCAGAGCAATCAGGAAGCCATTTAAAGCTTTTAAGCAAGGCAGCAGCATAATCTAATTTGTCTTTTAATAAGATCACCATGGCAAGGTGTGGAGAAACAGCAGGGAGTGAGGCTGGAGGCTGGAGGCTGGGAGATCAGTTAGGAGGCTGTTACAGTAGATAAGACATTAGCTGAAAGAACCCTTAAACTAGAGCTAAAGACAACAAAACCACCAGCTGGCCTGAAACGAACAAGAGCAACAACAAAACCTGTCTGTGGTAGACTGGTGGTCTCTGATGAACTCTGCCCCCCCAGTACTCCTGCCTTTGTGTAGTACCCTCCCCTTGAATGTGGGATGGCCCTTTAAATGACAAAATGAAACAAAAGTGACGCCTTGCCAGTAAAAGGCCTAAGCCTTAAGAAAGCTTGGCAGCTTCTTCTTTCGCCTTCTAGGGGACGATGAGCACCATGTGAAAAGCCTACCTCCCCAGAGACCAAAATGCCGTGAGAAGCCCAAGCTAGCCATGTGGAAGAGAACCAAGGCTCAGGCCAACAGCCCACCTGGGCTCCCATGCCAGTGAGGCCATCTCGTAAGTAGATCCTCCAGCCCCACTGACCATCCCAGCTGACACCAGGTGAAGCAGACGACCCGTCCCTGCTGAGCCCTGCCCAAACTGAAGAATCATGAGCAAATAAAATAGTTGCTGCTTTAATTCACTAAGTTTTGGAAAAGTTTGCTAAGGGGCAACATCACTAAAATGGTGCCCTAAATTCTTGCATAGCCTTATGATCTCATAACAATCTGTCCACCAGTGTAATGAAATATACTGATCATTAATATAACACCCAACATTTTCTCACCTGAACGGCATCACCGTTGAAGACCCCATCTATTATGAAATACGTCCAGAACACGGGCCATTCGCATTCAATGTTTTCGAAGAGCTTGAGCTCAGCAGGGTCATAATGCAGGCGGTTTGGGTCCTGGAATCAAATAAGTAAACCTTCTAAAAGGTGATGTCAGATTACATACATAATAGCATTGCACCTCACTGGCTTTCCCTCACCCATCCGATTCAATGTGGCTTTGAGGTTGGTATAATTAGGATTCTGCTATAATGGAGAGATGCTATTTTTGGCAGTTTTCCATGGTAAAATTTCAGAAAAGTAAACCAGAAATGTACACAAGACTCCTTGGTAGTTTATTATATTAAGCTTCCTATATCTCTAATGAATAAATAGCAATTTGCCTCTCTTGATATCATTATATCAGTCACTATGGCAAAGAAACCTAAGGAGGTAGCCACAGTTGGTATTTAAAAAGCCATGTGAGCCACAAAACTGTTTGTCTTTGTCTACGAGCTGGTTTTAAACCACTAGCTTGCTGTTTTCCTGATGATCTTACTATTCTAGGGCCTAACTCCCGCCTTGCTGACTCCAGAATTAAGACTTCCCTTTCCCACATTCTTACATGTAATTATAATCAACAGAGGGAGAACACCACAGTGGCAACTTAGATATCAAGTAGTTAAGGAATCATAAGAAACAATATTTAAATACAACCTCTCTTGGGGTTTTATAACCATCTCGAAGGAAGCGACAGCATCCATAACGCCCCTAAGAGATAAAGAAAAATAAGTACATCTGATGAAATCATAAGAATTTCTTTGCCTTTTGATTTGAATTCCAGTCAACCCTTTGCCCCTTCCCATGAATCTTTTGGTAATGAAATGTGTACCAAGTGCTCTTTGCTATCAGTATAAAAAAGTTATTTTTAAATAATAAGCAAAGTAAATTCAAATTTGATCATTGCTTGGAAAAAAAATGTCAAAACATTATAGGTACGAGAATAATTACTGACAGTTTCAGTGAATGGCTGTGACCTTTCACTAATTTGCCGTATCATGCAAAGATGCAAAGAGACCCTTCCTGCTTGGAGAAGCCACCTAGGCAGATACTTGGATTGGACTGCTTCTACTTGAAAGACTGAAAAGCTAAAAGGACATTCCAGACTCCTCACAGTTAAGCCTTGGATGTAAAGGAGCCTGCATTCTGCAAGACTTGGCCAGGAGGCAAGTGGGGCTTCCTGCGGCTTCGAGCTATCATCGCTGGTTTTCCTACTGCAGGCTCCAGTGCTCCCCTCCAGCCTTCTGGGTGTCAGGAAAGAAGGGCAGTGGCAGGGCTTCTCTGAGGCTGCCTCTCTAACCCCTGGATCGTAGCTCTGGATGTTCGTTCCCCAGTTTCTTAAGTGTTGTGGGGGCTGCTCTCGCATTGGCCATGGAGGCAAGCACGTCCAGTGGCCAACCCGTACTGTCCTGGGAGTCAGGGGAGGTCCAGCCTAGAACTTGATCCCCTTTAAACACTTCATTCCCTGCATTACCTCTCTATCTGCTTTGACTATCTAAAGAGGTTTCTTTTCTCCACTGAACCCTGATTGAAACATCCACCTTCTTTTGAGGGATATGATCGGAGACCTTTTCATGGAAAAGTATTTTTCATGGAATCTAAGTAGGATCATAAACATGCACATTTTGGCTTAGGAAACTTATATTCTTTGATAACTTTACCGATAACTTCAGTTGGCTGGAATATTTAATAACATTCTCACTTTGATATAATGTGTCATAGTTATATAGTTACTCAGAGCAGGGAAACTTTTTTAACCTCAACCTAACCTTGGGATTATGAAGCCCCCTGAAATTGTGTATAAAGTTTGAGGATATTAAAACACACGTGTTTTTTTTTTTCTGGCAGGGACGTTAGCTTTCGAGAGATTTTCAAAGGAGTCTGTCTGTGATCTCTAAAGGGTTAAGAAGTACAGGAGTGGTATGAATTCAAGTTCAAAGATGATGGCTTGGGTTCAAGCTCTGCTACTTAAGAAGAGAACCAAGTGACCTGATCACTCTGAGACTGTGTTTTCTCACCTGCAGATTCAGTTTTGATTACCTCACTCTATGCATCCACTCTGATGAACCAAGCCGCGGACCTCACGGAGAGCTGAGGCCTGGGTGAGCTGCTCCATGTCATAGTATGAAAGTGGCACTGAACACAGGGCAGAATGGCAGCAGCATGACCAATGCTTACCTGGAGCTTGGAAATAATTTCATTTTTGGTCACATTCACAAGGTTCACATCTTCTACTGCAAAGGCCGGGAAAGAAATAATAGAAAGCAGTCCAGCGTCAATCTCTTTAGATGTCGATGCTCTTGGCAGCATGGAGAACAGAATCGACTGAATGAAAAACAGAGGTGGCTTTAACCTGGGAAGCACTCATAGTTACATATAGTACCTAGAGACCATGAACTTAGCCTCAGGGAACATTCCACTGAGTTTGCCAATTTCGATTAGAACTTTGTCCTACTAACATGGTCCCTGATGGGCAACCTGACCTCCCCAGCCAATGGTTCCTGTTCCTTGGGGGAGAGTAGGAGTCAGGGAGAGCACTGTACTGTCTGCAGCCCGCGCTAAGAACTGCTTGTCTCCCTTCCTTCTGTGCCTTCTGTTGACCTGGCTGGGCCTTCAGGACATGCAGGGGAGGAACTAAGGGCTACCTATGTCACCTGGCTGTGAAGATAGAGGCAGAGAAGAACGCACATATGGGACCAATACAGAGAAGTGTCTGCCGTCTATGGAATGTGACTATTTGGACTGGTGAACCAGAAACCACTTAAAGAGTCAAATCCAGAAGTCTGCAAGAACACTCAGGCAAGATGGTAAACAGAATTAGTTTAGTCCTAGAGAGAAAGGGGTTACTTAGCGGAACTATAATATGGCCTCGAGTATAAGGTGCTTGGATTACGTACTGTAAACTAGAGGAAGTTGAGATTAGAAGGAAAAGTTTGGGAAGGGAAGGAGCTAATCTTGAGATTTAACATATATAGACATGGGGCTAGACCCCTGCAAACATAAGCTTATTAAATCTTCCATATGAAGAAGGAATTCAAGTACTATGTCCAATTCACACATGAGGACTCTAAGACTCCGAGTACAGAGACTTATACCTAACACGCAGCTAGTATGCAAGAGAGCTAAAATTCCTACCCAGGCCCAGCTGGCTACAAAGCTCACACAATTTCCACTAGACTACACATCTATTAAGATGAATACCAGCTTGACTCTACTAAACCATACCCCAAGAAATAGCAGAGTCCCCGCTAAGGACTATTTAATGGGGGAAAATAGAGTCAGCTGGAGAGGAAGGTAAAAATGAAGAACGTTTCAGCTTCAGAATAAAACTTCATTTTTCTATAGCTAACTGAACCCCTCGGCCCCCCACCTAAGCCTAGTTCTTTAACTAGTCACTCTTCCCTAGGCTCTCTCTGCCTGGAAACACGCACTCCCACCGAAGCTCTCTGCTTACAAGTTTTTACGTATCTGACTCCCATAGCTCCAGCATACAGTGGGCCCTCACTAAAGAAGAGTTTACTGATTGACTAGTAATTGGTGGTGCGCTGTCCATTTAATGAAGTTCCCTAATCTTCATCAAATCACTCCTTTCTCTAACCTGTATTTCATGGAGGTTCTACTAATTTGCTATGTCTCCTGTCTCGTCTCTCTACCACTACCATTCCTGCCCATCGCCACCCCCCTCTCCAAGGGAACCAGTGCTTGCTAGTCATTCATCATGAAATAAACCTTAGAGAAACCACTTATGTGCTCAAAACAAATGAAACAGATTTTGCCTTCAGCAAAACAAGGTGCCTTGATTGTGGGCTCCATATATACAACATTGTTGTGTCTTATGTGTACATGGTACTTTCTGGCTTACAAAGTGCTCTGACAAAGTAAATTGATTTACTCTTATCCTTGTGCACCTTGTGCAGCAGGAAAGGAAGTTCCTGATGTGCCCACTGTATGGATGAGGGAACTAAAACTCAAAGAAGCCAAATACCACTAAGCTAGGAAGGTGAGGAATCTGAACTGGAGCCCAGGCCTTCCCTCCATGAGTCTCCTTCCCTGCTCTCTGAAATGCGAGAGGCTGAGTTGGTACCTGGCAGTGTTCGACCTCATCAGGCAGGACATGGATCACTGACTTGCGTCCTCCATGGGCCCCAAAAAGATCCAGTTCATCAATTGCCTCAAGTGCTGCCTACAAACACAGGTCTGAATTATTTTTCTTTCTAGTGAACATACACTCCATATCTGGTACTCCTTTGTCATTAAACAATCTAGCATACATGTTTCCCCAAAGGTGATGAAGCACATTGTTAAAATCCAGCTACAGGGTCCTATGGTCATGCTCTACCCTTGTTTTTAGTAGATCAGAGCTTTCCTGCACGTTGCTGCTTATTGAAGGAACAAGCAAGAGAAAACAGAAAAACATTTCCCAAAATGAAATTAGCATTCTTTTAAAAAATGAAATACTAACAAGTTCATAACTTTGTGTGTGTGGTGGGGAGCGGGGCACTAAATTCATGGTCAGCTTTTCTTTCACATATTTGGGTGGTTAATTCCTAACATTAGTATATCTGGCACTTGAGAAAGTTCATTCTTTTAGTATTAAGAACACTTTCTGTCAGTTGACCTTAACAGAGCATATTTATTGTTGCTTTAAAAATTCTAGCTCTGGAATCTTTACTCTGTCCAAAGTATACTTCAGTCTCGAGAAGGAAGGAGGAAAAGAAGCATGCTAGATGTCTAGGGAAAAAGATGTAAACTGGTGGCCAGCAGACTGAATCTGCCCCACAGGTGTGTTCTGTTTGGCCTGAAGAAATTTTTAAAATAATTTCAAATTGGAATACCTTTAGAAAAAGTTCCCAGTGTCCTCTTGCTATTTCTATCTGGCTGACTTCACTGGTTTAAATGTTACACCAGACCCTACAGATTTTTGAACTTGTGAGCCCTGCGCTAAAAAGTGGTAATATTCTTCAGCCCTCTTTCTGACCCAAAAAAGAAGACTGGACATAACACATCCAGCTTCTTAGACAACAGCAAAAGCTTAGACGCGTGGATGATAACAATGAATAATGAGGAGGAAACATACTTATTTTCAGGTACATGCAGATTTCAGTGTAGGAAAGCTACATTCTTTACCTATAATTTCAGGTGGCTGGGGTACGTGTGCCACTTGAATTTCGTATTTGCTGGTGACTTTTGAAAAATATACTAATCAGATTAAATCCAAACTTCTAATGAGAACCAAATCAAAGCAGTAAAAATGCACAGAGGGAAAACAGAGAGGACAAGCCATCACCTTGGCCATTCCTACAGAGCTTGCATTCAATTCTGGAATGCCCTGATTGGTCTTATCGCCACGTTCCCACATTCCATAATCCTACGGAAGAAAAAGCAGTAATCAGAGCAGGAGAAAGAGGCACATGAGAAGAGCTATGGAAAAATGATTCCTTTATGTTAGCACAGGCATAATAGAGCATAAATATCTCTTCTCGAAGACTACCAAAACCATGGCTTTACACATTCAGGCTGTTCTTCCTCAATTTTGGTTCATTTGATCTCTGTGCGGAGTTTTGGAAGTAAATACTCAGGTGGAACCAAAAATGCATGCAAAGTGCTCTCAATTTTCTTATTCCTAAAAATTACTAATTTGTAAGAAATTCTTGATTTGCAGAGAACAAAATATTTTTTTATCTTACAGTCAAATAAAATGCTGTCCTCCTCTATTTAGCTAATTCCTTTGTACTTATATTAAATTGTAAGACGTGATAGACACTTTAACAAATGAGTTATAAATAGTTGAAGCCAACCAAACCATTTAAAATAATTTAATATCTATTTCTAGCATTACTTCTTGGGGAAAAAATGCTCAGCAAGTAACGGGAGCCAAAGTCAAAACTGAGGCACAGAATAGTGAGTTTTCTTAGTATTTTTTATTTTTTTAAATTAAGTTTATTGGGGTAACATTGGTTAATACAATTTTTCTTGGTATTTTAAACTGATTAATATGAATTGACTTAGAGCACTCTGTCGACATATAGGACTTGATACATGCATACCTAACTTTCATAATTCATATTTTCTCTTAAGAAACCCAAACACTGGATTCTGTTTTAAAATAATGCTATGTGCACTACTGAAAGACTATACCCCAACAAGAATAGGATCGATGCCAAAATTTCAGTATTTACTACTGTATCTCCAAAGATGAACATTTTCAAAATGCGAAAATTTAGACTTGGGCCCACCAGAGTGACTGTAGACACTTCCTTGCCACACTGGCCTTGTAGTTGTGACCCAGGACTCCTTACTTCATTATTCTTCACATTTGGGCCTCTCCATGTTCCAGCCCAACTCCACTCTAATCCCAGAGCTCAGTGACTCATTCTCAAAAGCTGATCAGCTCGCTCTCCCGGCTTAAGAATCTAAAGTGACAAAATGTTCATCCAACCCTAGCGGATCTCGTTCAAATCTCTCTGGATGGCCATACATCCATTATCTGGCCTCCACTTCCCGCACACTCACAAGCTGACTTTATTTTCTACCATTCTCCACTACTCAACTGTCAACCCTAAATTTACTCCTTCACTCTGCGCACTGTTTCCCCAGGCAGCCCTCCCTACACATACACACACTGAGAGCCTGTTCAAGCCTCTGTGACTGTTCGTGCTATTCCCTCACCTCAAACATTTTTCCTCCTTCATGCTTATCTAACCCGACTCATCCAAGGTCTATCTAAGTTCCCACCTTTTCCATGAAGACCTCTCAAGTTTCTTTAGACCAGGGTTTGTCAACCTTGGCACTACTGACATTCATCGTGTGGGGGCTACTCTGTGCACTGAAAGATGTTCAGCAGAATCCCTGGCCTCCATCCTTTACATGTCAGTAGCACACTTCCCAGTGCGATAACCAAATATGTCTCCAGACATTGCCAAATGTCCCCTCGGAGAGAAAGATTGCCCCTAATTGAAAATCACTACTTTGGGCCTGGGGGTAGCAAACCATGGCCCTTGGACTAAATCTCGTTTGCCACCTGTTTTTGTAAATAAAGTCTATTTGAGACACAGCCCTGATCATGTGTTTACGTGTTGTCTAGGCTGCTTTTGTGCTACAATGGTAGAGTTGAGTAGTGGTAACAGAGACCATAGGGACCACGAGGCTGAAAATATTTACTCTCTGGCCCTCTACAGAAAAAATGTGCTGACCCTTGCTTTAAACCACAGTGGCTTTTTGTCCCCAAATCAAACTCTACCTTTTCCTTATCATCTTTATTGTCAGCTTTGCACAGTTTAGTTGTTTTCTATAAGTGTGTGAAGCTTCAATCTCCATACCAGACAGAAGCCTGGAGGAGCTGGGGTTTATGCACATTTGCACCTGTACGCACCTGGCCTGGGGCACACATCTGGCTCTGGCCCCTCTACCTGTGGGCCACAGTGGGTGGGGGGGGAGGCGGGAAGCCCCACAGCACTGCAGCTCCTACCTAGGCACCGATGCTGCTGCCTTCACCTTGATTCAGGCCAGCCTGTGTACATGCTACAGGACATTTTAGGGTCTTATTTTAAACAAGCATAATGGATTCAAACAGAGCATGTGGTACATTCCAAAAACATGAATTCTGCAACTGTGTCTCAGGACAAAAATATGTACTTTGTGTGAGGCAGCGACATAATCTTGGAGCTCTAATCATGCTAACCTTCTGGTCAGCGCCAAATAGCCTGGACTTCAGAGAACTATATGACTTTTAATCTCTTTGACAACTGAAAAAACTACCAGGGTTGATACTTACAGCTACTTTATATGCAGCTTCTATGTAAAAAACAAGATTTTGTATGAAGGCTACTTCATCGAGGGTGAAGATAATACGTAAACCTAGTAAAGAAAAGCAAACAATGAAGTTATGAAGTTATGTTGTGATGAGCGAGTTGCCAATTACAAATAATCACACTAGGAAATAAATCCTTTTACCATTTTCATTTTTCTTACTAGAGCATCAAAAATTAGTCTGAAGTAAGTTATAACACTTAATGTCTAATCTCAGAAAGAGGAAGGAAAAAAGGAAGGATGGACGGACAAATGGGCAGGCTCCATTTTTGTGTGTGTGCCTGTAAGCTGAAGGAATTGAAAGAGAAGGTTGTGGGGTCTTCTGGTAGGCCCTTTGGATTTGCACAGAGAAGTTTCCAACAAAGCAAGGATTTTAGCCCATGGCAACCAGACACTGTCTTTATCCTTGAGTGAGCCAAAGGGTGAATACTTTCCTCCAAGGGCAGATAGGGAAAGTGGAGCCTCCAACTTCAGGAGATGGCCCTGGACCTGCCCAGGGGGCTGCATCAATATAACGAAGCAGATGGCAACCCTCTTGGATTTTTGTTTGGGTCCTCGAGTGTTCAGTTGGTTATGATAATGCATACATTTTTTAAGTATGAATTCTTAAAGCTGGTATGGGTGTGGTAAGATATGTATTTTTACATCAACGGGGGAACTTTTAACTAGTAAACTGTTGTAAAAGCAGTTTGGGAATATGTATGAGTAGCCTTTGAATGATATCTAACCAATGGAAGGAAGCAAATAGATATGGGGTCAAAGTTGGTATTGCAACATTAGTTATAACAGCAAAAAAAAAAAAAAAAAGGAATAAAGACATAGTTAAATTAATTATGATTTATCGACTGATGAAGTCCTGGAGAAGAAAACTTTAAGAGTGGGACACTATCTACAGATATTTCAATGGTTGAAGGTAGATCTGATTTAGGTTGGTCCAGTAATGTAGGTGACAGTGACAGAAAGGAAGCTTTGGGATCAACTAGAATGATGCTAATAGAGCTGACTCATCGACAGTCCTCATCTTGCAAATGCTCAGGAGGCTGACTGTTGGCACATCACAGAGTCAGTGCACATAATATTATAAGGAAGCATGCTTTTTCTTTACGGAAATAGCTTATTTTGAGTACTGATCAATGTCTGCCCCTTTCTGCCCCCTTCTGGATTGTCGCTCCCTATACAATGGACTCAAATGGCCTTGGCTTACCAGAAGCAGTCATCTGGGCCAGGAACAGAAGGAAGAGGGAGGTGGCATCCACCTGGAGATGGCCCCACTGGTCGTCACCCACCACGGTGCTGCAGGTGGCAGTGTTGTACTTGGCATGCAGGCTGTCTTTGGTACTTTGTGTATGCTTGAACTTCTCCACTTTATCCACCTGAGGGAGAAGACAAGCAGGCTCTGCATAGTACAAGGGCTCCTGGCTGGCAGAGGCCACATCCAGGGTCAGTCTCCTGGATGGAGACCCCTTATCTGCTACCTCTGGGAGCCAGGGGGATGGAAGGCAGCGGATGTTCACTAGTGAGCACCACACAGAGGGGCTGTGCAGGGATTCTTCCTGCTCATTTCCAGGAATGTGCCAGCCCAGTGGGATTTTAATAAGCTCTACAGGGGTAAGCGGTCAAGCCAACAGATTTCCTTGTCTTGTATCCCCAACATGAGCTGTGACACAGGGTAGGCACTCAATGAGAGAGGGAGGTTAGGAGGGAAA